AGGTATGTTCACCACCAATCAGTCTGTGTATACTGCTCGCTCACTCATCTCTCTCTCTCTCGCTCCCACCCCCCCCCACCCCCTCAGCAGGGGTCTGTCAGGCTGATCTCCACTCATTACAGCACCAGCATCACCAGCTCAACCACAAACAGCTACAGTAACGCATCACAGTTATTAATAAGATCCTGTTAATCCAACTTAATCTGCTACACAGCTCAGCTCAGGTTTGTTGAACTTGATGTACGAGTGCTGATTGAACTTCCGTTGGTCACTGTAGTCTCCGGTCAGTTTAGAACAGCGTTATTACAGTTCACTAAAACTAAACGACATGTCCACTGCAAAACTTACTCAAAACAGAATTACTGACTTTAGTTTCAGTTTTTTGAGTTTAGAAGTTTGGCTGTGCATTTTACTCTGCTTAACTCTTATGAAATACCTGCTGTCACAGTGTTCATCATAACAATCATAACACTAAAACACTGAAAGTAAACCTGAAACTAAATAAAAACTAAACTAAAACTACTACACTAAAAACACTAAGACTAAACCAGAAACTGAATAAAAACTAAACTAAAACTGAAGCAAATAAAACTAACCAGAAAATAACTAAAGACTAAACTAAAACTATTATATTAAAACTAAAATTAAATCTGAAACTAAATAAAAATTAAACTAAAACTAAAACTATTACACTAAACACTAAAATTGAAACTAAAAAACTAAACTAAAACCATAAGACTAAAACTATAACTAAACTAAAACTATTAGACTAAAAACTAAAACTAAATAAAAACTAAACTAAAACTATTATACTAAAAACTAAAATTAAAACTAAGACTAAATAAAATTGGCAAAAACTAAAAGTGAAACTAAAAAACTAAACTAAAACTATTATACTAAAAACTAAAATTAAAACTAAGACTGAATAAAATTGACAATAAAAACTAAAAGTGAAACTAAATAAAAACTAAACTAAAACTACTACACTACAAACTAAAACTGAAACAAAATGAAAACTAAACAAACTAAACTGTTATACTAAAAACTAAAACTAAATAAAAACCCAACTAAAAAATCTAATAAAAACAAAAACTAATGAAAATTTCAAAACCATAACAACCTGCTTTAGAACTGCACTCGGCACTAGAAATCATGGCAATAGCAACAACACCAAGGCAGGACAGGAAGCCAAACTGTTAGCACAGACCTTAGAGGAGATATTCTAGGAGGAAAGACAGCACAGAGAGCGAGTAAAGGAACGTTCTCCCAACTCCAAACAGCGGAAGTGGAAATTCAAGGTTCTTACACGACCAAAACACAAACAACAGCCAGCCCTGCGTTTCTCAGTGTATATGTAATTAATTATACAACAATACAACTGTTTATGAATGTGAGCAATTACACTGAAATAGTCCAGCAACACGACAACAATCACTCTGGTGAGGTTCCGGGATAATCTGGGAGAGCATCAGCTCCGATTTTCACTTCCACTCATCCGACGGAGCCGGAGGAGAGCGATCACCCAGCATTTGTCTTGGAAACTACAGCCACAAGCAGCGCCTGTCAATAAAGTTTATTTCCAACAAGTGAGCTTTGTGGGCGGAGAGGGGTGTAATGTCATTACCCACAACCGCAGGCAAAAGCACTCAAATCTCACCACAAACTGTGTTTATGCCTCCCTCCATCTCTCTCTCCCTCCATCTCTCTCCCTCTCTCCCTCTCTCTCTCGCTCCGTGGGCGCTGGGAGACGGAGCGCAGATCAATAGTCCCTTCAGTGAAAGAATTCGCTATTGAAATTCTCATTTGTTACACAGCTTTTCCCCCCAAAACAGCCGGGAGGGCCCCGTGTCACGTCGCGTTAGAGAGACTAGCCGCTAATAAAGTGCTAGCCTGAGGTCACGGGCGACAAGACGGGCCTCAGTGCCAGCTCCCATTAGGCCGCGCTCGCATCTGTGGCCCAAAAATTTCCGCTAAAATTAGCGTCTTTTGGATCCTTGTAGCAGGATGTCAGCCAGGGAGTGTGGCGCAGAAGCCCGGCCTGTCACCATCGCTAGCCTTCAAACCCCACGCTACCGCGCTAACACCAGGGTACGGCTGGCCGCGGGACAGAGCGAAGTACAAGATTGGCTTTACAGTTGTTTAAGTAAACAAGAAAGTCGGGCCGTTAGTCAGAGAGAGAGACTGGAGTTCGGCGGGGAGTGTGTGTGTGTGTGTGTGTGTGTGGGTGGGTTAATTCAGTTACACATCCGCTAACGTTAGCGCTAAGCTCACCCGTCCAAAAGCGAGCCAGCGTTTCACCCCCACGGTAAGTTTAGCATGAATTTCATTTAGCGTGATTTGGCTGCATTTGAATAAACAGATGCTAGCTGTAGCTGTTAGCCGTCGCTAGTCGTTGATTGGTGCGCTGCGTTAAGAAGCACAAAAAAACTGTATCTGAACTAAACAGACAAGAAAGTCAGAGTGGAGAGAAACTGGATTTGGATAAACAGTAGATTGGAATAAACAGATGTTAGCAGTCGCTAATCCTTGATAAAGTTCACTGAATTAAGGAGCCGTCATCTTGGAGGGCTCAAAGTGAACCAATAAAACTTTATTTGAGCAGTTAGCTTTCGGTTTACAGGTGTTTAAGAACATTTTTGGGGTGGGGAGTAGGGCTAATTCAGTTCTGCTAACGTTCGCTAACAATACACGCTAAAGTTAGTACCCAAAAATAGTTCCCAATGAGGACAAGTTTAAAATGAATTCAGTTTTTCATGTCTATCTGGGTTTGAATGAACATACGCTGGCTGCAGTTTTTAGCTGGATGGGTTGGGTGGGAGTAATTCAGCCCAGCTAATATCCGCTAACCGTGTGTGCTAACGCTAGCATCCCAAAACATGCCAGGTTTTCACCCCTTGGTGAAGTTTAGCATGAATTTCATTTAGCGTGATTTGGCTGCATTTGAATAAACAGATGCTAGCTGTAGCTGTTAGCTGTCGCTAGTCGTTGATTGGTGCGCTGCGTTAAGAAGCACAAAAAACTATATCTGAACTAAACAGACGTGAAAGTCAGAGTGGAGAGAAACTGGATTTGAATAAACAGATGTTAGCAGTCGCTAATTGTTGATCAGTTCACTGTATTAAGAAGCCGCCATCTTGGGGGCGCAAAGTGAACCAATAAAACTTTATTTGAGCAGTTAGCTTTCGGTTTACAGATGTTTAAGAACATTTTTGGGGTGGGGAGTAGGGCTAATTCAGTTCCGCTAATGTTCGCTAACCATACACGCTAAAGTTAGCCTCCAAAAATAGTTCCCAATGAGGACAAGTTTGAAGTGAATTCAGTATTTTGTATTTATCTGGATTTGATGGACAGATGCTAGCTGCAGTTTTTAGCTGTCACTAATCATTGATTATCAAAATCTGTCTGAACAATAACACTAGATTAGTCATTAAAACAGACAAGAAAGTCGGTGTGGAGACAAACTGGACATTTGTGTGTGGGGGGGGGGTGGTTCAGCGGCGCTAAGCTAACCCATCCAAAAACATGGCATTTCAATTTAGCATGAATTTCATTTCTGTTAGCTGTCACTAATCACTGATCAGTTCACTGTACTAGGAAGCCGCCATCTTGGGGGCGCAAAGCGAACCAATAATGTCTACATTTCAGGAATTAGCTTTCAGTTTACAGATGTTTAAGAAAGTTTCTGTTGTGGGGAGTGGGGTTCAGTCAGTTCCGCTAACACTTGCTAACCACACGCTAAAGTTAGCACCCAAAAACATGTCCCTATAAGGACGTTTATCTGGATTTGAATAAACAGAGGCTAGCCGCAGTTTTTAGCTGTCGCTAGTCATTGATCAGTGCGCTGCGCTAAAAAGCTCTCGTTGTTGTTTATCTGAACAGTAACACCAGGTTAGTCACTCAAACAGGCAAGAAAGTCGATGTGGAGATAAACTGGACGTTTGTGGGGTGGGTGGGGTTCAGGGGTGCTAAGCTAACCCATCCAAAAACATGGCAGTGTTTCACTCTATAGTATGTTTAGCATGAACTTCATTTCTGTTAGCTGTCGCTAATCACTGATCACTTCACTGTATTAATAAACCGCCATCTTGGAGGGCAGAAAGTGAACCAATAATAATTAGCTTTCGGTTTACAGGTGTTTGAGAACGTTTTGGAGGTGCAGGGCTACTTGATAGCTGTTGCTAATGCTGATGCTAATGCTAACTGCTGTTCAGGGATTTGCTTCATAAAGCACTCAGTTTGGATGGAAAGGCTTAAGTGCGAATAGCATAACAGTTGCTTGAATACACAAATCAGTGTGCTACTTAGTATGGGGGCAGTGGGGGTGGTGGGGAGTCAGTGGGGGTCAGTGGGGAGTCAGTGGGGGGTAAGTGGGGGGTCGGGTGGGAGTAATTCAGTCCAGCTAATATCCGCTAACCATGCGTGCTAATGCTGCCATCCCAAAACATGCCAGGTTTTCACCCTTTGGTGAAGTTTATCATGAATTTCATTTAGCGTGATTTGGCTGGATTTGGATAAACAGATGCTAGCTGTAGCTGTTAGCTGTCGCTAATCGCTGATCAGGGAATTGCATTTAGAGGCACTTGGATATTGTGGACAGAGCAGCGTAAGCGCTCGCTGTCAAAACAATATCTGAGCAATTAATCTACCATTTTAAATGCTAATCTGTTTGCAAATTTTAGGGTATAATCCGGAAAATCATATGCAGGGGGTGTTGATGAGGATTATCAGATCAAATCGATCTTCATAACGAGGGGGGATGATGGGTAAAAACACACATTTCACACTGTGCTTCGTGAACCAGCCAATATACAAGAAATAAATGTGCTGATATATCGATATAAATGACACACTGCTGGCATATAGAGGCTAATTTGGAGGCATATCAGTCAGTCAGTCAGTCAGTCAGTGAACTGACCAATAAACAACAAGCAAATAAAAAAAGAACGCATTAAATTAAGGAATAAACAGACAAACGACCAACCAAACAAACACCAGCCCACCTCTGACGATGAGTGCGGCGAAGTTGGACACCCCGGAGCCCCTCTCTGATTGGGTGACGCATCGGTACAGATCCTGATCCTGATTGGTCACTTCTTTGAGGCGGAACGAAGCGGCGAACTTCCTGTGGTTGATGTTCTTCTTCTCGGCCACAGGGATGTCCTCACCGTTACGCTTCTGTCAGGAGAGACAACAGGAAACAGACTCACACATACAGCCGTGTGCAGAGGTTTGTGCACCCCTGGCCAAATTCCATGTTGTTGTTGATTTTCTGAGTGTGAATAAGTAAACACGTCCTCTATAGAGACACACTTCTGCACATTTTAATACACAGTTACTTTATTTGCTGAACTTGACATACTGACATAAAAACGGTCTGTGCACATTTCATGTTTTATTTTCTTTCAATAAAAATGAAAAACAAAACCAACAACACATGAAATTTGACCAAGGTTGCACATGACTGCACATACGTCAAGCTGTTCTTCTGGTTTCTGGACAGACAGCACTGCTCCAGTTTGTGAAACATTCAGTAAAACCAAGAAAAACTGCTTTTGATGTGTTTTATTAGATCAAACAGCTGAAAAAAAACAGCAGCTTTTCTGAGTTTCTTCTGGCAGATAAACGTTACACATCGTCAGTGTTGCAACAAAACTTCATACCTCTGAAAAGGTAATGTACATTACAGGGGAACGTTTCTGTATAAACAAAGAGATAAAATGTTAACAGAGTGGTTTGATGTGAAATGCTCTGCTTCGAGAAGAACTGTTCACAGTGGTGGTGATAGGAACCAGACGTCCGCCTCTAAAATCTCCCTCACAGAAAGTTCCTACATGTTCCTCAATGGTTATGAATTCACTGCCTGATGACTGAGACACTGTTTTATGATAGTTTCGGCCTTAAACTCCATTCATGGTGGAGGGATACATAATATGCAGGGCGCTGTGAGGCAAAATAGTCCCTGAAGAAAACTTATTGTTTCAGATTTTCCACTATTTTCCATCATCAACATTCCATATAAACTCAGGAGACTCCTGTAGGTTCACTGGTGGTTCTGGATAGTAAATAAAATGTCTATATCTGTGTTGTAGTCATGGCGACCCCTGGTTCCTATCACCACCACTGTAAAGACATCTGAACCATTTCACACCAAACCACTCTGAATCTCTCTGTTCACATCTCACACACTGAGTTATGTAGAAACTTTGAACAATCAGTGGAATTCCCCTTTAATGAGATTTTAATTGGTAATAAAGACTTTTAAAATGTCATTCTGAATCATTTCTATTGGTCCATTCATCATGAAATGTTCACACAATGTAAAGGACAGCTGGAATTTTCAAATGGTGTAAAATACACAAATATATATGATACAAAAGTGAAGATAAGTTCATTAAATCCCCCACTAAGCATTAAAAAATGCACCCTAATTCTGAGGGAACTCATCCAGCAGCTATTCTGATATTCTATTGTGAAACGCTCTCCACTGACATGTTCCACAGGACTAGGCGTGCACTGAAAACAAAGGATTCAGTCATCCTGTCCAACCAGAGCAGGTGATGATGATGGGTTGGGTCAGACTGAAGGCATTTTAATCTCACACCTACACCAGAACGCCCTCGTATCTACACTCACTGTCCACTTTATCAGCTCCACTGACCATATAGTTTCACTATGTAGTTCTACAGTTACAGACTGTAGTCCATCTGTTTCTCTGCATACTTTGTTAGCCCCCTTTTACCCTGTCAGGACCCCCATGGACCCTCACAGAGCAGGTACTATTTAGGTGTTGAATCAGTCACAGCACCGCAGTGACACTGACGTGGTGGTGATGTGTTAGTGTGTGTTGTGCTGGTGCGAGTGGATCAGAAACAGCAGTGAGTGTCGATACAATGATGTGGATTCTATTGGTCTGTTCTTCATGAAATCTTGACACAATGTAAGGAGCAGCTGACGTTTTCAAAGCATGTAAAAACAACAAAGAAAAACACAGGTTTTTTTTTTTTGCAGTGGTGTGAAATTCCTCTATAATGAGTAGCGTCAAAAGACGGAAAGCGGAATGCTGCTCGGTCAGGCGACGCTGCCAAACGTTTGGAATTACAGACGAACAGCAAACGCTGCAAACTCCAGACTCGGTGTTCAGTCCATGTTTCTATATAACAGTGAGTCATACAGTGTCAGAAACCACAAAATCACATCTATTAGAGATACAAGTGTGCTAATTGGTGGGGTATAAGCTTTCACTGCTTGTTAGCTACATTAGCCTTGCAGCTCCAGCGCTAAACCTCAGACAGCAAACATGTCTTGGCTGATTGACTACGTTTATTGAAAGGGAGGAAACTGGCAGGATTTGATTTCTCACCAAACTATCGCTTTAAGTGTGACCGAGTAAAAGGCTCAGCATCCATGCTGTTGTCTTCTCATTTGGAGCTTGTTGTCGGGGTATTTTTATCGCTAAGTTCTGCGCGGTGTCAGGTCGTGTCAGACACACATGCAGTCATTAAGCCTAAGCTGATGTAAACTTCTAGCAGAATTTCATTGGCTGCTGAGCTGGATTTTGACACGCTGGCCTAAAAAAGTCTCAGAGAAGGAAAAACCGTTGTTATATACAGGGATGTAGTTGGTGGGGGTGGTGGGGGGTGAAGGGGGCTGAAGCAACCCCAGATTTTGGGATTGTTTAAGTGCAACTGCTATAAATTATTCAAGAATAATAATTCGAGCCTATTAAAGACCTGTGTGTGTGTTTTAGGGTAGAATTTGTATTTTATGTTGAGGGAAATTCCTGACCAAAAACTGAAACCTACAGCCTTTTTTTTTGAACAAACATACAGTCACTGTCGGTATCTCCATTTTATTCATTTGTTGACATAATGTGAAATTACCAGCTGCTCTTATCACTGTGTTAAAATGTCATGATGAATGGACCAATGAAAATGCTCTAAAAGTTCTTAAATAACTTCCATTAAAAGTTAAGAACACTCTTCCTTCTCCTGTAAAGCTACCTTTTCAGAAGTACAAAGTTTTGTTCCGAAAGCAGCGATATGAAACAAAAAATCTTCAAGATGACAAAGAAAATACTCTTTTAGGACAAGAAAGAACTGAGCTGACAATGAGAAAAACAGTTTACACAGAATGCTTACAGCCTTTAGCTACAGTGCCACGAAATATAGGAGAATTTACTCCTAATGAAAACGTGGCTCCTAACAACCACCTGGAAGAGCTGGTGAACCCCAAAACTGCCCCCATCAGATAAACAGCACTTAAAGCTTTCATCTCTGAGAGAGAGGAGAAAATCAAGCTGATCAGATCTGAAAACATCCACAGGTGTTTCTGTCCATCCTTCCACTGTGAGAAGACGACTCAGCACTGTGGGTCTGAAAGGATGTGTAGCTGTTCAAGAAGAACCTCACTGAGAAAAGGAGACGGACACATCAAACAAAGAAGCTGAACGATGGACTGACCACCCCAGAGTCCAGACCTCAACACCACTGAATGTGTTTGATTACTTCAGAAAATGATCAACCAGCTTCTAAGACTGAACTTTGGAGGTGTGTCTGCAGATTCTTTGAGGAACTGAAAGTGAGGCTCCTGAACAGAATGGAAGCTGGAATAAAGGGAAAGAGTGACTCACTGACCACTGAATAACTGAGATTAGATTCAGCTGTTGTGTGATTTTCTGATGCTGAGAAATGAATAGGTTGTCCTCGGTCTCTGATTTCTGAGCAGCACCGCGCGGGCCGTACTGTTACGCTGCTAATAGCGAGTTAATATCCGATATTAATGAAGCAGGACAGATCAGTGTCACAGCTAATCAGCATCGCTTCAAACACAAGCGCAGTATATAATTCATTATCTGTTTGCCACTGACATCTCTCATTAGCCAACGACTCTCTGAAGACGATCAGACGAGCGGAAAAGAGGCCGCACTCGTTTTTGTGGTCTTTTTTTTTTTCTTCTCTCACGTTTCTCTCCCTCACACTTTAACTGCCCTGCCTGGAGAGACAAGCCTCTACCCCTCTCTCTCTCTCCTCTCTCTCTCTGTCTCTGTGTCTCAATCACTCCTCCTCCTCTCTCTCTCTCTCTCGCTCTCTCCATCCTTTCCCTCCTTCAGCCTCAACTGTTATCAGCTTATCATGGAGCAACAGGAGGGCCACACAGCTATCATTATCAGCACAGAGCCGAGAATCCTACAGCACACCGAAGACAACTCCCCCACCTCTCTCGATACACACTAAATGGCCTAAAGTAAGTGGACACTTCTTAATTATTGAGTTCAGGTGTTTCAGACACACCCATTGCTAACAGGTGGATCAAATTAAGCACACAGCCTTGGAGTCTCGATAGACAAACACAGTGACTTTAAACATGGCACTGTCACAGGATGCTGCCTCTGCCACAAGTCAGTTTGTGAAGCTTCTGTCCTGCTAGATCTGCCCCGGACAACTGTAAGTGCTATTACTGTGAAAATGAAGCATCAAAGAGCAACGACAGCTCAGCCACTAAGCGAATCCTCTGATGCATCACTCACTACATGGTTCCAGATTGCCTCTGGAAGCAACATCAGCCCAAGAAAAGCTGCATGAAATGGGTTTCCAGATCCCAAGATCACTGTGCTCAATGCCAAGCGTCGGCTGGAGTGGAGTAAAGCACCGCCACTGGACTCTGGAAACGTGTTCTATGGAGTGACGAATCACTCTTTTCCATCTGTCAGTCTGATGGATGAATCTGGTTTGGTGGATGCCAGGAGAACGTTACCTACCGGAATGCATAGTGCCAACAGTAAAGTTTGGATGAGGAGGGATGATGAGCTGGGGCTGTTTAAAATGTTATAGCATACAAAGACCAAAACTTTGTGTTAACAGTTTAGGGAAGGTCTTTTCATCATCTGGCACAACAGTGCCCTTGTGCCTCTGCATGGAGGGGTTGGGGGGGTGGGGGGTGAGCATTCCATATTACTGCTGAAGGTTTTGAAATGGGATGTAACGCGCATTTAAATGTAAGGGTAAATGGAAAAAGAGAGAGGGGAGAGAAGTAAAAGATGAGAGAGACTCAAGGAAAAAATATATATGCAGCTATAGAGTGTGTGAGTGACTGTGTGTGTGTGTGTGTGTGTCTCTCTCTCTCTCTCTCTGGTTTTATACTCCCTCTCTCGCTCTGTCAGTTTCAGGTCTAATGAGGGGGTATCCTCCCCTCTCCATACGAGCTGATTATTGTATGTGGTTATTTATTCCGCTGCTGACCGCTAATAAGCTGATTTTTACCCAAATGATGCAAGAAATGTGAAACCAAACTAAAAAACAAAAGAAAAAAGAAAAATCACAATAATGAATGTTACTGTTCCCAACAAACAGTCCATCTAGAGGAATTCAGTGTGAAGTTTTCCCCTCAACCTCATAAATACATTAATACATTAACCCACCTAAACACATTATATACCTGATATACCAGTTTTTAAATGCTTTGCTCCCAACAAGTGGCAACCAGCAACGCCTCAAGTCACAGTAAGAAAACCTTGTATTTCTGAACTGGTAACTTTATGGGAGGGAAAAAAATGTAAATTGGTACATTATTTGCATGTTATTGGTGATTTTTTTTTTGTAAATATGAATAAAACTGCGATATATATGAGCAACATATCGACCAGCGTCTGTTGTGTGTTATTTCACAGTTTTGATGCTACTGCTGTTCTAAAAAGTGGGAAACAGTAAAAACAAGGAAAACCTTTAGTAACACACTCTCAGAAATAAAGGTACTAAACTGTCACTGGGTCAGTTCCCCTCTTGTCACTGGGGTGGAACCCTCAAGGCTCCATCTCAGTACCTTTAGTCAGGGAACATAACTGAACCATAATCCACTGAAATGATATGTTCTAAGCTGTACTGACTCCACACACCCCGTCTCGTCTCCAGGCTTTTATTTTACTGTTCTGTTTAAAACATTCGGTTATGAAAAGGTACAAATACGAACTTTTCACCTGGAAGACTTATTTAAGGTTCACAATCAGACCTTAAAACCACTGTTGGAGCTTTGAGGGAACGTTTACACTGTTTGTACCTTGATGAACGAAAAATGTACCTGAACAGAACCTTTATTTCTAACAGTGCAGGTGCGTCCAAACTTCTGACCGCTCCTGTACTCCTCACCTAAGTAAGTCCACAGTCGTTTGCTCAGACGTTCAGGCCTGAGGAGTTTGCTTCACACTGGCGTGTGTGTGTGTGTGTGAGAAAGTGCTTTGATCGTGCGTTTGCTCTGCACTCCCACATCAAACACTCGGCGTGTCAGACACGGCCGGGGAGGAGCTGCGGCTCGGCTTTATTTGAAATTGAAAAACGTCCGTCGCAGGATTTTATTAAAGCTCGGCTCAGGTGGACTCGCGGTTTATTCAATTTCCAGTCCACGTTCCGGCTCCTGGTGAGACGGGTCAGACTGTTAACCCCCTCCGAACTACAGCGCACCACCGACGTATGAAAACAAGCAGGCAATTTAAATTAAAAGCCACCCACCTTAGCACTTTTAAAAAAGAACAAAGTTTTATGTAGTATGCAGGGATATGGGAAGGGGGGTGGCTGAGGGGGCGGCATCAGCCCCGATTTCAGAGCTGCATCAGCTAAAAATAACAGTGATAATCCATAGATCTGAACCTTTTAATAATTTGAGCATAGCAAAGACCTGTGCGCTAGTTTTGGGGGAGATGGTTTTGTTCCATTTTTATTTATATGTTCTAAAATCTGTTATCTATTTTCATTACAGCGAGTCAAATCGCTTCAGTCAACAACAGCCTCTGGAAAGTGTTTGCAGAGATAGAAGCCAGATCTGACCCCCCCAAAGTGGCCAAACACTGTTTATAAACTATCATCTAACACAGGTTTTGCAACCAAAATGTTAAGAAGGGCCATTTTGCCCTTTCAACAAAAATCAAACCACTTTGGGAGCCACAACACTTTATGTCCATTTTACCATCTTGGCTGTAAATGTGTCTCAGTATGTGCTGATGTTCTAGTATAGACTAACAAATCTAATATAAACAAAAAAGCAGACTTACTTTGCTCTGCTTTAAGCTTCAGCTCAGCTATAGCTGCTTTTCTCACATCTCCAGCAGGAAACTTTTCCACAAAAGTTGAACAGTTTCTTTCTTGTAAAACGTCTCTCAGTGTTTGATTTTTTATGAGGCTGAAGTCAGTTTCTCGCTCGCCAGCTTCTTTGGATTCTCCCATTCCACCTTAAATGGTGCCAGAATGTACCTGCTGAACCATTTAAGGTGGAACGGGAAAATTCAAACGAGAAACTGAGGTTAGCTTCACGACTTTTCAGTGTTTGTCAGTTTCTCACTGCAGATTAAACGTATCAGGAAACCAGCTGGAGTGATTATAAACACTAATAAGTCCATTCGTCTCCAAATCATCAATGTTCATCTTAAATCTTCCTCTTTGCCTTTTTGTTAGCTACTAGCTAGACCAGATTGCGTTGCTACGGTGAGCAGCCTGTGTGTCAAACTTTAGGGTTAACATTTCATGATCAATGGACCAAAATTACATATAATAAAATCTACATTAACAGACATTAAAGTTACGAATGCTGCCCTTCTTCTCCTGTAAAGCTTTCATTTTATATATGAGAGGTTTCTGATTCTGATGGATCTGACTGTGATTATATGTTTGAGTGAAAGCTGATCAGGTTTACTGACCGATCTGCGACAGTATGTAACATTTTAACATTTCAAATTAAATTTTAAAATTCATATAAATGTGGCTTGGCATTGTTTGATCCTCTGTGTTTAAAATAGAGGGGTTAGAAAACGTAAATAAAGCACAGTTTGGCTTCTTAATGTAAAAAGATTTTACAAAATAATACATAACAAAATAACTGATAATCCAAAACAAGGGTGGTGAACATAAACCTTACAAAAGATGGTTCTTTAGAAAGACGGTGGTTCTATATACAACCACGAACACCATGGTTCTGTATAGCACCAAAAAGGGTCCTGCTATTGTTACGATGTGAAGCTTGTAACAGCAGAAGAACCTTTTTTGGTTCTGCACAGAACCATTTCACCATGCAAAGTAAAGAGCATCCTAAAGAGCCCTTGAAGAACCATCTTTTTGTAGGAGGGGCTCAGAGGATGAGGTCAGTGTACCTGTAGCCAGAGCTTGTTGTTGACGGCGTCCCGGACGGTGGCGATGCACTGGAAGGTGGCGTTCTGACCTGCGTTGACCTCCACGTCCCCCAAACGCAGGAAATGAGGAGATTTATCTGCACAAACACAGTTTAATTACATTGCAACACCAACAATTAACACATCTACTAACAGGGATACAGTCATTAATCATAATAATGCTTTATATGGCCAATATTAATATAAAACAGTGTGAATATGATTCATATTCAGTACAGAGATTCAACTCATTATTCATCCCAATATGTCAGTAAAATTCTTTGTCTGATCTGTTGTTATAAATATTTAGCAGAAAAACGGAATAAAAAAAATAATAAATAATAATAATAATAATAATAATATAATAATAAGAAGAATGCATTTTATTTATAATTCACCTTGAGGTTTTTGAAAGGTTTGTCAGTTTCTCACTGCAGATTAATCGTATCAGGAAACCAGCTGGAGTGATTATAAACACTAATAAGTCCATTCGTCTCCAAATTATCGATGTTCGTCTTAAATCTCTCTCTTTGTCGTTGCGTTAGCTACTAGCTAGGCGAGACTGTTGTCTGTGTTGCTATGGTGACCAGCAGTCTGCGCTGATCTTCAGGGTTAAAGGGTGAATCAGCAGTTCTACATTAACTCCAGAGTTTAAGACCATTTATTGTTAAACTGTGTTGAACGATCAGCAGAGCTTTATTTTACTGTAAAGGAGGATTATTTTATTTTTACCTAATAATCTGATTCGGCTGTGGAGCCACAACAGGCCAGTAGAAGAGCCACACGTTGCTGACCCCCGGTGTAGGCTTTAATTAGACTTTTAAACTGTTATTGACAGCCATGGTGATGATTGTCTGACAGCTCTTTTGCAACTCAGCTACGTACTTTTTCTTCAACCATCCTGCGACCTCCAAAAATATCTCTCGTAATATTAAAAAAATGCCCAAATTTGTAATACTGAAAATTTGCACCAGTGCACGTCATGCATTTTCAATGAGAAGCTTCACAGAGCTGCAGTGTCTTTAAGAGTGCGGTGCCCTTGCTGAGTGTGCGGTATGTGTGAGGTGTGCTATATTACTGCAGTAGATCAGAGGGATTATAATCCAGTTAAACACCCACACTAATCCCACTCTGCTGTGGATTAGAGGTTTAATTACCAAAACCTGCTGTATTATTCCAGAGAAATCCCCTCACAGCTCAACAAGGCACACGCACACCTATCTGCACACGTTCCCTGCAGTCTCGCTCACTTTTAACCCATTAAACTTCACTACTATTCACTGATTTTACTGTAATTATCATTATTACTATTCTATTACTATTAGGTGGAATTTCATAGCATAGTTAAACAATTAAGAGTCATTAACATACAACGTGTGTAACTCATATCTAAGATACGTGAGCCTGTTTTTGCAGCCTCTAAATCAGTTTCCTCACTCAGATGATTACTGCTCAGGTGTGAAAGGGGCGGGACTTAAAGCTCTGCCCTACCTGAGACCTCATTAGCAGTTCAGATGTAACTAATGCTGCATTATAACCGACAGGAAAAGTTCCTCACTGCACCTTTAAAACAACAGATGTGTGGGTGTTTATACTCACCGCAGGGATAACTCAGCACCTGAACATCATCTATCGCTATAAAACCCCTCCGTCCACTCGAGACCTCCGCCTCGAATATCACCTACAGAGAGAGAGAGAGAGAGAGAGAGAGGGGGAGAGAGAGAGAGAGAGAGAGAGAGAGAGAGAGAGAGAGACAGAGAGAGAGGGAGAGAGAGAGAGAGAGAGAGACAGAGAGAGGGAGAGAGAGAGAGAGAGAGAGAGAGAGAGAGAGAGAGAGAGAGAGAGAGAGAGGGGAGACAGAGAGAGAGAGAGGGAGAGAGAGAGAGAGTGAGAAAGAGAGAGAAAGAGAGAGGGGAGACAGAGAGAGAGAGCGGGGAGACAGAGAGAGAGAGAGAGCGAGAGCGAGAGAGAGAGAGAGAGAGAGAGAGAGAGACATTATGATTAAGTTTATGATTAATTTTCACCTTCTGAGTGAAACTGATCAGCTCAATCACACAACACGTTCAGACAGAAACCATACTGGTGTGTGTGTGTGTGTGTGTGGGTGTGTGTGTGTGTGTGTGTGTGTGTGTGTGCTGAAAATAGTCATCCTCTCATGAGACTACACAGCTGAAATTATTCTATCCATCATGTAAGACGTACATTAATAATAATAATAATAATAAATAAACACATTTAAATTATAAACTAGCCTATTAATCGTGATTAAACAGAATATTAAACGTACAATAATAATGAGATAAATAATTACACAAATGTCAGATTTTTCGTAGAAAAATAAAAATAAAACAGTAAAATGAATATGTAATAATAGTAATAACACTAATAAAACTTTAAATACAAATAAATATATAAATAATTAACAAGCCAATAAAAGCTCATAAAATAAAAGCTTGTAAAAGTGAAACTAACTTCTTACAGACTAACTAACTAACTACATAAACAATCGCAGAGACGTGGCAGGGTGAACAGAGTTTATCATCCTTCTTTCATTGTGATTTCATTTTTCTATTTTAGTCGACAGTGTTTTTTTTCTGTATCAGCCGCTCTGCACTAATCTCACCATCACAAACACAATCAGCCCTGATCTGATATTAAACCACAGAATGAGGGATTAAACAGAAATAAATTACACCTCAATAAAGCAGCGCAGAATCATAATCAGCTGAAAGAGCGACAGAAGAAGAGATGATGAGCTCATTCACTAAAGAGACGAGTACAAAGAAAACAGCACTCAAACCTCCTGCGTTCGTCTCTCCTACGGACTGTATACGATCAGCTCAATACACACGAATATAAGGGTTACTAATCAACTACTAACAACCACGACATTAAAGGTACAATTAACAGAATTTAAGGTTTAAAAATGTGTAATTAAAGTTATGAAAATTTGGAAAGAAAAGATAGTAAAAAATTGAAAAAGCACCTTTAAAGCTCATTTTGAATGCTTTAATTACAATATGATTTCTGGTTAAACTGGTCGTTTCAATTCTTACCGTACTCCACCAAACATCTCCAAACCTCACTAAACCCCAACTAAACCCCACTATAACCCACCAGATACCACCACCACTGCACCAAACCCAACCAATCCCCACAAAACCTCACTAAAAACCCACATACACCACCAAAACCCCACCAAACCTAAATCCAACCAAACCCCATTGTACCCCATACACACCACCGGACCTGACCAATCCCCACCAAACCTCTCCAAATCAAAACAGACCTCAATAAACCAACACTCCACCAAACCCCTCCAAACCCAACCAAACCCCGCTGTACCCCACCAAAAACCACCAAACCCCACTATACCCCACCAAATAACACCAAACCCATCCAGATCCCTCCAAACTTCACTAAACCCCACCAAACCAAAGCAAACCTTAATACAACAATATTCCACATAACCCCTCCAAAGCCCACTTCACCCAACCAAACACCACCAAACCCCACCATGCTCCACCAATCCATGTCCAAACTTCAACAAACCCAACGCCTCCAAACTTCACTAAACCCCACCAAGCACACACACACACACACACACACACACACACACACACACTCCCACAGAGCCATCAATCACATTTCTATTGAACAGATAAATGGCTCTTCAGACCATTAAATTATAAAACATTGATTACAGCTGAAGACGCGCGTGTAGCAGATCAATATCACTTTAGACGGGCACTTCAGCACGAACGCAGGATCAGCTCGCTCTCCAGCAGACACAGCAATACGACACCTTAATACATTTAGCCACGCAGGAGGAGAAACAACAAATCAAATAAAGGGAAAGTTTCACATCACTCACAAACAAACACGCTTGTTTTTAAACAAGGTCAGCACATGACCTTATATATATATATACATACATATATATATATATATATATGTCCCTTAAGTATTACAGATACAGCTCAGAGCAAAAGTCAGAGACCACCCTTTATATATTTTATTTAAACTCAAAACAGCGGGAGTTCAAAAACTGATTAAAAGCTACAGAGAAAATGAAGCTCCTAACAACCACCTGGAAAACCTGGTAGCCCCCAAAACTGCCCCATCAGATAAACAGCACTTAAACCTTATGCCTGCTTACATGGTTCTTTGCATGGTAAAAGTGTTCTTCATCGAGCGTACTGATGAAGTAAGAACCTGTTTCTGTTTAAACTCAGGGGCTAGCAACTTATGTTCTTATCTAGAACCAGGCTGTTCAGCTAGCTAACAGGCTAAAAGAGAGCCAACAGCCTAAACAGCTCCATCATTAACATCACAGGCTTGAATTAAAGCACTTACAGTGTGATTAACTGTAAAATGGCAGTATAAAAGTCTAAAAAGGTCACTTGTCACTAAAAATATCTAACACGCTTAACTGTCTGTCTTTCAGTCAGAAGTCGTGTCCAACCCAGACTGAATCCTGAACAGCTCCGTACTCCATAAACAGTGTTCTAGTTTAGGAATTCTAGCTTCTACAACCAAACAGTGCATCATTTATTGGATGTGTCTGAATCACAAATGACTGTTTCTTAGCTATAGTATTCACTGTTCTCCTCATTCAGCAGTCCATGGTTGCTTGGCAACGATACCATACTCTAAACAAACTAGATTTCTTGGCGGAATGATTGTTTATGTCGATTATTATTAATAATAACTTAATTTGTTTTCGGAAAAACTGTGTATTTAATCATAGTTTATGTTGGGCGTCTTTTTATAAAAGCAATAAGCCACTTGAGGCCGTGCGTTACAGTGATTTTATCACAGGGAGGGAGGTTTTACTTCGCTTTGCGTCAGGCCTAACAACACCCTTCCCCATGATACAATCGCAGTAATGCACAGCCTCCTGTGGCTTGTAACAATAGCAGAACACTTTTTGGTGCCATACAGAACCAAATACAGCACATTCTCCATCAATCTTAAGAACGCTTTCACCATGCAAAGAACCATTTAAGTATGCAAACGGTTCTCCGAGTGTTCATGGTATATAGAACCATTGTCTTTACTAAAGAACCCCTGAAGAACAATCTTTATTACATTGTCTCTTTATCTGGTTTTAAATGTGTTTTTTTAATATAGTCCTGAAAATGTACAAAAACAAACACGAGATCTCCTCCAGGAAAACAGTGCTGTGGTCGTATAAGTTTCTTTTTCTTTCTTTTCCTCGAGGAAAAAGGAGGCTCAAATGCGAGCTGACAAGCAGACAGAACCCACAAGGATTAAACAGACTAGTGTGTGCGTGTCCTCAAGTCAGTCTCAGTGCGCCACAGAGAGGGCACGAGGGCACTTAACCAGAGAGAACATGTGCACTTACACGAACACAGAAAGAGAGAGGAGAAACAAACTGCTCTGTGGAGAAACACAAGCTGAGGAAAGCTTTTCTCTAAACTTCAGAACTCCAAATTTCAGTTCTGAAAGAGTCGAGTCGGTAAGTGAGCGGCTAATAAGAACAGGAAGCGGTCATTAGTAAACGCTCTCTGTCCGGTATGACACTAAAACCAGCACAAAAACACGGCATTCAGCATTTTACAGTATCAACCTTTGAAAAACTGTTGTTTTTTTTAAAATATACACTCTTCCCAAATTTGACGCCTCCCAAAACCATGGGGGCAGTGTTACTGTGTTACATCACCTTTCCTTTTAACTACACACTTAAAAAAGTTCTTCAAGGGTTCTTTAGTAAAGAAAATGGTTCTATGTAGAACTATGAACACTCAAAGAACAATTTGCATGCTGAAATGGTTCTTTGCATCATGAAAGCATTCTTCAGATTGATGGAGAACGGTGATAGATGGTTCTAAATAGAACCTTTCTGAAAAGTGTTCTATATAGCACCAAAAAAGGGTTCTGCTATTCCAGACTGTAACAATAGCAGAACCCTTTTTGGTGCTATACAGAACCATATACAACACATCCTCCACTGTGCAAAGATCTCTTTAACCACGCAAATGTTTCTTTGAGTGTTTATGGTTCTACACAGAACCATTTTCTTTTTTAAAGAACGCTTGAAGAACCAGCTTTTTTAGGAGTGTACTGTATTGCTGACCCTGTCGGTCTTTTCTTCTAAGAGTTTTACTTACCATCTTTTATGGAAATCACTGGGTGGAGCCTATCAGAGTAAAGTGTATATAGGCACATTCAGTCATTTGAGAATGGGCGTGTCCATAGCATAAGCCACGCCCATTCTCAAATGTGCTTTTTTTTGTCTAGAAGGGTTTATAAATTCTGCAACATAAACATTCAAGGGTTCTTTAATAAAGAAAATGATTCTATATAGATCCATGTACACTCTATGCATTGTGACATGGTTCTTCAGATTGATGGAGAATGTGCTGTATATGGTTCTATACAGAACGTTTTTGAAAATTGTTCTATATAGCACTAAAAAAGGGTTCTGCTATTCAAGGTTGCAACAATAGCAAAACACTTTTTGGTGCTATATAGAACCATATACAACACATCTTCCATCAAGAGGAACTCTTTCACAATGCAGATTCCTTCAACCAGGCAAATGGTTCTTTGAGTGGTTATGGTTCTATACAGAAGCATTTTGTTTTTAAAGAACCCTTGAAGAACCGTCTTTTTAAAGCTTGTACACTACAATAACCATTTGGCAACTGATGACAC